TTTATTTATTTATTTATTTATTTATTTATTTATTTACTTATTTACAGATGACACAACTATGCGCTTTGGGTTCTTTATCATCCATCACATCTCTAAAATGGATACCAAACGTAATTAATCAACCAATTAAATGCAATTGAACGCAATTGAATCAAATTAATCGAATAACCAACCTATCATTTATAGGGTACTCAACTTGCTGTTGGTACGGTAGACGGAAAGGTACAAATTTGGGATGTTGTCACTTCAACAAAAATACGTGATTTCACTGGACATTCTTCACGCGTTGGTATGTCAATAATTAATTGATCGTAACAATTAATTTATTAATCGATCGTCGTGATTTTATAGGGGCTCTGGCTTGGAACAATAACGTACTTAGTACTGGTGGTGCTGATCGTATAATCTATCAAAGTGATCAAAGATGCACACAGGATTTCATCCAAACGTTTCAAGGACATAAATCAGAAGTATAGATATAAATATATATAATATATTATTATTAATTGTTTCTCTATATGATAATAACATATAATAATTCGATAAAATAGATTTGCGGTCTTAAATGGAATTCAGAAGGTGACCAATTAGCTAGTGGTGGTAATGCCAATGAATTATATGTCTGGGAAAAATCTAACGATCACGAACCAGCTTTGAAATTGGAAAAGCATAAAGCGGCTGTTCGTGCCTTGTCTTGGAGTCCTCATGATCGTAATATTTTGGTGAGTGGTGGTGGTCATTTGGATAGACAAATATGTTTCTGGAATACGTTGGATGGAAGATCGTTGGGTGTTCATAATTCCAAATCTCAGGTATTAATTAATAACAATATTTGATTTGATGAATTGTCAATATAACAATTAATTATTGTGATGTAACATAATATACATAATATACATATAAATTTATTTGTATTTTTTATTATCACTGTTAGGTTTGTAATTTACAATGGTCACCTAACGCGAATGAAATAGTTTCGACTCATGGATGGTGGAGAAATGATGTGATAGTTTGGCAATATCCATCAATGAAAAAATTGGCCACTTTGAAAGGACACACATATCGTGTCTTGTATTTTTCTCTTGCACCTGACGGAGAAGATATTGTCACGGGAGCAGGGGGTGATGATAACACTTTAAGATTCTGGAAAATTTTTAATACCCCTCGCGATAAAAGTTTAAAGAAACCCGATTCTGTATTGAAATTGGACCGACTAATTCGTTAGATTGGTGAATCGAATTGGCGAAATGGATTATTATTTATATCTATTCTGTTATTTGTTGCTTATTATTATAGAATTTGTAAATTACTGTATATACTGCTGTTATATCATACTCTATAATTAACATTATTTCTTATTAATTGATTGATTAATTTATCCCCGAAATTAATCTTCATATTCGCTGAAATTGTCGCTGAACTCTAATCACAGCTTGTAAAAAATAGAAGTTCCGATTCGTGTAACCAATAGGGTTTAAAATATCTCTATTGCTATTTTTATAACTTTTATAACAAATTCAAATGACATTGTTAATCTAAAATATATAGGTTTCTAATACTAATGAATAAATCAGCTTTCATATTGATAGAGTAAGTCTCTCTCTCTCTCAAAAAAACAGCATTAGTTCTCATTCAAAACCATGTTGTTTCTCCAATGTTGATTATCTTTATAAACTTAACGAGTGGTTGAGAAGATGTAAAATATTATAAGCTTTCATATGGGTATAGCTTCATGTGGATTGTTGTTTATTATCCAATACATAAATAGGGAAAGTGATCATTGGTCGTAATGACATAGTATAGTTAATTTATAAATGCGGTAACTTGGTTGATAGACTTTAGCATCAAAATTCTATTGATATTAATGACCCCAGAAGGAGTGAGAATTTTATGTATGTATGATAATACACAGTATATATGATAATTTGCATATATAAACTTTTTTCCATTTCCCTGTCGATCTCTATCGAAATTATATATCCAGCTGGTTCAGTTAAATAATTTCTGAGTATATCTATAACTCTAACTCTTCCAGCTTACTGGATTATAACTATTTTTATCCTATTATAGATTTATATATTTATTTCCGCCTTTTTCAATATGGTGCATACCTCTGTTTTTGCGCCTGGTTTTCTTCCAATTTTCTTAACGTTATTATCTTCATTACTTCGATTTAATCTTACTCGCCTAATAAATAAATTTTCAACAAAGAAGGGGAGAGAAAACTTAAAAGAGCAAAAAAATAAAAATCTAATCAAAAAAACTTTATCTTTATATTAATATATTTCAAACAAAACTCACATACATACAGAGAAGGATTGAATGTATGTTCTTCAGGGTATGGTGAAGCAAACCAAGTATCCATTTCCCACTCGCCGAATCTAATAATTTTAATTCTGGATCCAAATTCTTCGTTTGGGTTTTCCTTATCACAGATATTATATTGTCATTAATATTCTACTACAAGCACCTATATTACCCTCATCGTCCACTAGCCTTTTAAACCTCTACCAACATCAATCTTGATTCGTTTCCTTCCAACAAACCTTCCAAAAAACCTTGGTTGTATATAATAAAAATAAATTTAAAAGTGTATGTATCAAACAAATAAATCACGGATGACGTAAATGTTTTATTTACTATTAAAATAAAATTTTCGCGTAATATAACACAAACTATCTATGTCTGAACATAAACAGTCAAACAGTCAATCAAGATCCTCATCGTAGTGATTGATCGATTATTTTCTTGGCATAATTAAAGTGACCAGGTAGGGTGCGTACTAACTCGAAAAATTGCTTATTTTGTACATTTTATGTTCAGCCATATTCTATTCTAAATATGAAATTTTTTTTGAAATCTTTCTCAATTTTATTATTATAATTATTATATTCAAATCTTATTAAATAATTAAATATATAATCAAAAAAGAAAATATAATGGGGGTAAATGTTTTATGGTTTTTTTTTGTTTGATTATTTTATTATTCGTTCAATAAAATTTAATATAAATTATATTATTTAGGATATAGATGCAAAAATCAAGTCTATTAATGACAAAATTAGAAAAGAGGAACTAATGAGACAAGCAGCTGTAAGAGTAAAGTCTCAAACTTCCAATACAACAGTACAAACTCAATGTGAGAGCAATATTGAGAATGCTTCAAGATATATTGAATATCTAACAAAAGAAATGGAAAAATTACAATTAAAGCAAAGAAACAGTTTTTCAACAACTCCACAATCACAACGTAATTCACAAATTGATTATTATCAACAATCTCC